AAGATCAGCCTTATATACTATTAGTGTCAATTCAAGATATTATCAAATTTTGAAGAAATTAGTATTAAAAATAACTTTCGTAATATCAAATGAATATTATAAATTTCTACGAACCAGTCGTTTTTTTTTAAATTAATTAGCATTATTCTAGGAATGTTTTGCCATAAGATAGATTCTGTATGTAAATATATGTATAATATTGTATGTATATTCTGGATATAAATATTAATGAAAATAGTTAAAGGACTATGATGTTTAAAATTTAGCTCAGAGAAACTGCAAAAGAACGATTTTATAAAATTGGAAAGTGCTGATTCTAATTCTACTCATTTCTGAAAATAATAATTAAATATATCTGGAAGGAAAAAAATAACTACTTCAAGGATGTTCAGTTCTACTAATATCAAAGAATAATTCTTGTAATTTTACTTATAATTGTATTCAGAGTTGCATATTCATAAATGCAAGTTCCATGAAATTGAAAAAATTCTTCCAATCTTTGCGGATAGAATACAATGGATGTATATTATAGCAGATTTAAAATCACATTGAATTTCACATATAACAACTATAACTATAAACTATAACTATAACATTATAATTATAACTATAAACTCTGATATAATGTGAGAAATATTATTTATTACAAGAAAACAGATTAAGAAGAATTTACATTTATGTGAATTGTAGCAGCATTAAAATGCATCATGAAAAATCAACAACAGATACAAAAAGAATAATACGATAGACTATTATGAGAGACCATGCAATATCAAAAGCAAAATATAATAAAAATTGAAATTATTAGCGAAGAGCCGATGATTGTTGAAAATCATCCTCAAAGTTTAAAAGGAATGTAGTCATTCAGAATGTACAGAATGGTGCCCAATGATTATTATGAAATAGCAAAGATTTACGAGAAGAAAGCAGAGAAGCTAAAACAATGATTAATAGTGAAAAATAAAGCTCTGAATTACTAGTCAATATGATGAAAAAAAATATTTACTTATATATTTTTTTTAGTAGATTGCAATAGATCAATAATCAATGTTTGATATTAATCTAAAGTCTCTGGTAATAAATGGAGTGATTTCCCGTTGTATGAATGAGAAATTGTTACAATTGTCATGTCCATAATAATAAGATTGCGAAGCAAATTAATTTGACCTCGAGAAATGGCATCAGTTAAAATCAATATACCGATGAGCGATTATATTTGTCGATGTTTGCATGGTTATTGACTTGTTAAATTATTATCACTATATAATTATAATTATTGACTTAATTATCTGCCATTTTGTAAGAATTAAATGCTATTTTTGTACAAAAGAATATTTTTATATCTCTAAAGAAAAAACTCAGAAAATAATTGAAAAATGCATTGCCAAAATCGACAAACTGCAATGTATTTTTGCGAATTTGTATTGCGAATTTATTCAAGACAACGTCAAAAAAACGCTAAAGATTCACACATGATATTTATAACTTTTCTCCGTTCATAAACAATGAAATCTTTATCATAACCTAACCTAACCTAACCTAACCTAACCTAACCTAACCAAGTAATTTTAAAAATATTATTTAATAAGTTTTAAATTTAGTTTTTTAAATTAATTAATATTTTTACTAATTTGTTATATAACATAAATAATAAAATATTTAATAAATATGTATATTTATTAAAAATAATACAAGCAATATTTTTATATTGAATTGATATTTACCAAATATGATACCAAAAGTTTATTGCAAATAAGTCTATATTTATAGAAACAATAGATAAATGTGCATAAGCAATTACGGATTGTTGCACATGTATAAAAAATATTCTTTATAATAATAGCTATATTTTTTTATAAATATCTTGAAAATTAAAACAGTAATATGTAAAGAAAAAAGTTGTTTAAAATCTTGTCTAGAACATATTCAAAAATTACAAAAATCAATAAAGAATATTTCGAATAATTATTTAATTTGAAAATTAAAGCCAACAATTTATTATATATAAAAAAAGATACATAAAATAAAGTCTTTTACAACATATTTCAATATATACTCATTAAGATCAATAGATAATATAATATAAAACAATCAAACTAATTGGAACTATTTAGATTGATTTAGATAGAAAAAGATAATCAGATAAATATACAGATAGAAAATATTCTTGAGTGATCAAAGTTACATATTACATAAAACATTCTATACATATAAATTTCAATATCACTACTACATTATTTAATTGGTTATATTTGATGATATGCGCGATACAATGACGATATAAAAATAAAAACAGTTATATGTCTATATAGATAGCATTCAATGCTTAGTTATATCTATTGGCAGAATTCAATATGCATATTGTATCGAAAACTTTTTATTACTACCTCAAAAACTAATAATTAGCTGGAATTAAAATTTTAAATTTAGAATAAAAAAATATAAATATAACAATAAAAACAAAGAAAATTGAAAATATCAAAAAGGAAAATATAATCAAAATAAGGTAAAAAAATTTACAAGATTCATATTATGAAAAAAAAAAATATTGATTGAAAAAAAATTATGTAGACTATGTGAAAAAGAATTAAATAAAACTGAAAAGAAAAATCTGCGAAAGGATTGAGGAATATTATAAAGAATGATATAGCAAGAATATTAGGAGAAAATAGCAAAGAAAAAAAAAAGGATAAGAAAAATAGATAATAAAAAAATTAGTAGCAAAAAAGAAAAAAAAAAGAAAAGGGAAAAAAAGAAAAATAAGAAAGGTATCAGAATGAAAAATTGATAAATAAAAGTTTATGAAAAAAGTATCATAAAAATATCAAAAAGAAATAAACGCAAGAAAGCAAAGAAGTAGAACTAGGTTGACATTTTCCTAAGAAAATTAGGACAAAGAAAAGTATAAATACATGATAAAGATAAGATATAAAGAAAATAAAAAAAAAAAATAATATAAAGAAGAAAAAAAGAAGAAAAGAAAGGAAGAAAAAAAGATGGAATTTTGAAAGAATATAAAATGTCAATTAATAAATAAAAAGAAAATAAAAAATTAATAGAAAAATAAGAAAATAATATAAAACATAATAAACAAAAAAAGAAATATAAAAATACAAAAAGAAGAAAAAAAGAATAAATATAAAAGAAAATTTTTGAATTTTATAAATAAAACCGGAATAGCATAAAAAAAAACAAATATGAAAAATATTTACAAAAACAAAAGAAGAAAATAAAAAAGGAAAGAATAAAAATAGAAGTTATAGAAGCAAAATAAAAATTATGAATGAAGAGAAAAAAAAATAAAAAAGGAAAGAAAAAGAGAAAAAAATATATATATATTAGTTTATATATAGGAATATAAAAATAAATTATGATTAAGTAAATAAGATAAGTTTAATAAGACAAATTATAATATGAAAAAATAATATATTATGTTATTTTTTATGTCTCATAAATCGTACATTGTATAATAATAAAACAATAAACAGTCAAACATATTTGATTTATATAACAGTCAAATGATATATTATTGTTTATTCATTGTTTGATATACTTCTCAAATAAATTATGTGATTGGCCAATTTTTTTTATTAATAATTTATTAATAAAACTATAACAAAAAGGAAAATTAAAGAAAAATTTCCAATTAATGGATGTCCTCATATTTTTTAAATATTCTATATAAAACATAATATTTATATCTATAATATTTCATATTTCAATATTATCTGTTTTAATAACATTTTGTTATTTATTTCATTATTTTATTTTTTATTTATTTAAAACCATAAATATTTGATAACAATTAATAACAAGACTTTATAGTGGCATATTTAAATAGTATATATTGTATAAATATAAATATATTGTAAAATATATAATATCCAAGCAATGTTTAGAATCATTCACTATTTAAAGTAAAGTTTTGTGACAATTTATTTTTTATTAAGTCTAATTTTTTCATATCTTACTTAAAATTTTTCTTTAATTTAAATGAAAATATTTAATCTAAAATTCTATTTATAGTATTATAGTAAATATAGTATCATTATTTATCATATAATTCTATACTATATAAAATACTAACATTGTTTTATAATCAGATATAAATTTTCATTTCAATTTCGGTTTTTTCAAATATAATTGCATCAGAATAAAAAATATTTATGTTAAATTTACTTTTATCGAAAAGTATAATATCTAGAAAATGTTTCCTTTATCAATATATTCTTTTTCGCAAAATTCAATCTCTGTTATTAATTAAAAATTAATTTATTAAAACAGTTTCTTATATGATTATTGTATTATATAAAACTATATTTTTGTAAAATTTTTCGATAAGATTCTGAATGAAGATCTTTTTTCTTGCATTCTTGAATATAATTACAAGTTTTAGAGCCAATATTAAAATTAATTTTATTTTATGAATAATTATCTTTTTTATCTTTTTTAATTATCTTTTTTTCGATATTTTAATTTCTTTAAAATCGATTTTTACTAATTTTTAATAATTTTATTTGCAAGATTTCCTATATTATTCCATTTTTTAATAATATATTAAATCTTTGATTTATTTCTATTCAACATCTCTTTGTAAAATTTCTTTTCTTTAAAATTTTAATATTCTCTTTTAATATTAATTTTCTCTTGTATTTTTATATTTTGGATTTTTTTCAAATATAATCTATATTTTAAATGTAAATAACTAGTATACTATACTAAAAATAAAAACTTAAACTTCTTAGTATTAATTCTAATAATATATTATAATTAATATAAATATAATATAATATAATATAATATAAATTTGTAAACATGACTTATTTTTAACTATTTGAATATTTTTGTGATTTTTTTTTTTTTTTTTATATATCTGTATAAAAGAAAAATTTTCTCTAACTTCAATATATCGACTTTATTTTAAAGTTTATATAACCTTAATATTTGTATTTTACTATAGTTATAATATTACTTTAAAAAATTAACCGTAATATATATAATTATTTTCAGTGAGCATTCCAATATTTTGATTACATTAAATATGGAGAATAATAATGGGAATGAGAATAGAGACATTATCAAAAAGAAATTTTTACAATAATACTTTAATATCTTAGCGTCTATTTTAGGATGGAAAATTTTTTAAAAAATGGCATCAAAATCATCTCCCGTTGTCGTTTCTTACTTTTATATATATCATAATAGGAAATTGATGATATAATAATTAGAAATGCATTGATTTTATTTCATGAGAAAATAAAGGTATCACCACATGTATCTCATTTATGTTATCATCTGAAACATAAAAATGCATTATATAATAGTCTATTCTAATGATGACAATAAATTTGATCAATTTTTGATATATATATATTATCGACATCAATACTTATAATTAAAAGCAACAAAATCTTATAATGAAAATAAATCATTTATTTAAATTAAATATTTTAAATATTTAATAACTTAATTAGAATATAGATAAAAATATAAAATGTATTATAGAATGTTTTGATCGAATATCGAAAAATTTTCAATAAATAACGAATCTAAAAATAACAACTATAAATGTTCTCTGCTAAATAATTTCTTGTTTATTATTAAATAATTATTGTTTGTTTCGTCATTATTTTTCTAATTTCCATTTAAGTATATTTATTAAAATAAATTTTGAAATAATTAAAAATTTTATAGAAAGCTAGTGATTATTTCTTTTTTCTTATAACATATTACGTTACAGGGAATATGTTTGTATTGAAGTCCCAAAATTTATGTATCAATAATGGAATATATTATCACCTTTAAATATCAATATATTTCAATACAAAATATCGATATTTGAATTGAAAAGTATCGATATTTGAAATATCGATATTATATTACCTACCACTAATCTATTCTATATATAAATTGTGATAATATATAAATAACCTTAAAAAATTAAATAAAGAAAAATAATTTCTTAATTATTTTAGAGCAATTTCTGAATTTATTATTCGTATACATATAATAATTTCTAATTTAAATTGAATTCTATCATTGAAATTTTTTAATAATGGATATTTTAAAAGCAGAAATAATGAAGAAAAGAAAACAGTTAGAGGAAAGCAATGTTTTGGTAATATTTTATTTAATAATCAATTTATAATATTTTTTAATTATTTTTTTGTTTTATTTAAAATTAAAATAATATTACAGCAAAATAACAAGAAATATTTTAGAAGAAGTGAACTAATGACGAAGGATCAAAAAGTAAAAGAAATACAAGAAAATAATGATGATGATATTAAAATTAATACAATTCAACAACAAGAAAATTCTGTAACTGATGGTAGTTCTGAGCATTTAACATTACCTAGGCACGAAGTAATTAAAAGATTACGTGAAAGAAGTGAACCTATATTATTATTTGGAGAATCAGAAATAGAAGCCTTTAAACGATTAAGAAAATGTGAAATTCTTGAACCTGAAGTAAATAAAGTAAGTAAAATATTTTAAAAGAATAAAATATTTGCAATGATTACTATATAATGGTTATTTTAAATTAAAGGGTTTTAGAAATGATTTCCAAGAAGCTATGGAACAAGTAGATCAAGCATATTTGAATGAAATATTAGCTTCTTCTAAACCTCAAGATCGCGATGGAAAAGGAGATGTACATGTGCCAGATGAAGGAGTTACTTATGAAGATTTACAAAAAATGTCTATAAAATTAAATAAGGGTGACAGAGATTTTGATTTAAATGTTATTACACAATTCATACAATTCTTAGTACAAATGTGGGGTAATCAATTAAATAGTAGAAGTACTGCAGAAAAAATGAGTACCAGAGGAAAAATGGCTAGTGCTACTTATGCCCAAACAAGAGAATATTTAAAACCTCTTCTTAGAAAATTAAAAAATAAATCCCTTCCAGAAGATATTACTGATAGTTTAACTGATATTGTAAAACATTTACTTGAACGTAATTATATATTAGTAAGTATATTAATAATTTTATATAATATATACATAATTTTAAAATAATATATATATTATAAATTTTTTATTATAGGCGAGTGATGCATATTTACAAATGGCAATAGGAAATTCTCCATGGCCTATTGGAGTAACTATGGTTGGTATTCATGCGCGTACCGGAAGAGAAAAAATTTTCTCAAAAAATGTGGCACATGTAATGAATGATGAAACTCAAAGAAAATATATTCAAGCATTAAAAAGACTTATGACCAAGTGTCAAGAATATTATCCTACAGATCCATCTCGTTGTGTAGAATATTCAAAAACATAATATTTTTATATGTATATATACAAATTACATACAATTACATTTTGTATAATATATAATTGTAAAATATTTAACATATAATATACATCTTTCAATATAATATTTTATTTTTTCTTATTAGCATTATAATTAAATTATATATAAAAAGTAATAAAAATTGTATTTATTTAAAATAGCAAATCAATTTGTATTTGAATACTTGTTTTCATATTAAATTAGAACTTATTTGTACTATTTGTATTTATAAATAATAAATTATCTTAATAATAAACATCTTAAAAGTACTTATAATTCTTAAAAACAAAGATAATTTTTTAAAATAAAATAATTTCTTAAAAATAAAGAAATTTATAAAAATGCAAATTATATTACATATTTTTATATTATATATTATTATTATATTTATATTTTACAATTTTTTTTATTTTATGTTAGATGTTAATTCGTTTGATTTTCTTACTGCAGCTTCAACTGCATTCATCATAGAAGCTCTACAAATATAATTGATAATGTTATAATGCAATGATATATAAAATGATTCATCAGATATTACTATTTTGTTTTATATTATTGTTATTATTGATAATAAAAATTTTTTTAAATAAAATTGAATGATTTTAAAAAGGATACATTCTGATATTATTAGTTTTTTTTATATAGTCATATATGAATCTTTTTTTAAATAGAATTATATATTTTTTATTACATTAATTCATATTTGATTCTCTACATAAAAATATTAACTTATATTAAAAAATTATTAATTTAGAAATATTTTTAAGAAATATTAAACTTAAAATTTAAAATTTATTGTATAAAAAACAAGAAACATACAAAATAATACTTTAATGTTTTTCTTTCATTCAATTAATTCAACTATTCTAAATGTTTGATTTCATGTGAAACATTTTTTGTTATAGATAATAATAGGGATGAAAATCAAGATAGTAATATCTGAAGAATCTGTACATAATACTTTCATGGTTATTTTACCTAACTTGTCCACATTCCATAGCATGTATTCCTGTAATAGTTGTACCTCCTGGAGAACATACTTCATCTTTTAATTGACCAGGATGTCTACCTGTTTCTAATACCATTTTACCAGCTCCAACTAATACTTGAGCTGCAAATTTTGTTGCCATTGGTCTTGGAACACCCATCTTCACAGCACCATCTGCTAATGCTTCTATAACAAGATATGCCTAGAGAAATTTTATTTAATTTTAATGTTTGTTTTCAAAAAAATATATAATATTAATTATACCTACATAAGCAGGACCAGATCCTGAAAGACCACCTATAGCATTCATAAGAGATTCAGGAACATTTTCAATTACACCAATATATGAAAATAATTTTTCTATTATAGTTTCATCTTGATTTGTTGTATTCATAGAACAATATACTAAACATTAAAAATTATAATTATTATTTTACATAATATTATTTTATATATTTATATTATCTTATTTTATATCTTATTTTACCTGTTATTCCTTCTCCAACCATCATTGGAGTATTAGGCATACATCTAATTATTCTGGGATATGTAACAATAGATTTAAGTTTCTAAAAATATTATATTAATTATTAAATTAAATTTATATTTATTTATACATGATTTATCTATATTTTTAATAATGATTTTACATTAGCTAAACAATCTAATGTAACTCCTACAAGAACTGAAACAAAAAGTATATGTGAAGCTTTGCTTGTTATCGTTTCTTTAATACCCTTAAGTGCATCATCAAACATATGAGGTTTCATTGCTAAGAATATAATATCACAATTATCTACTACTTCTCCATTTTTTAATGTAGCATGAGCACCAAGATCATTCCAAAAGCCTAAAGTTTTATTTGTACGAGCAGAAACCCAAACATTATCTGGATTTAAAATACCTATAATAAAAATTTAATTGTATTATTATTTTTCGTGTTACAATTAATCATTAATTTTATTATAAATTATTTATTATAATATTTTATTAATTATAAGTATAATATTTTATTATAATTATTTATTATAAATTATATTAAAAAACCTTACCTTTACGAATTAAGCCAGCACCAATAGCACTTGCCATATTTCCACCACCAATAAAACCAACTTTATTTGACAACAAATAACCTTTGTCCATATTTATTAAAAAATATTAAATATATATATATATTGTTTATAAAATCAAATATGATACAATATATTTATCTTTTGTTCAAAGTATTCTTAAAAATTCTAATTAAACTGACTTTTAATGGCTTTAATAACATAATATAAAATATGAATAAAATAAATTGTTTATTTATTGTTATTAAATATGTTCTTAATATTCAATATTAATTATTTATTTATATATTTCAAAATTAAAAAATATATATTAAAAGATTTTTTTGAGACATTTTTAAGTGTGATCGAAGAAAAGACACGAAGTATGAAAAGAACATAGAAAGAAACTTAAAAAAAAATATATTTAGATATCATTAATAGAATTTTTTTATATAAAAATAAAATTTCAAAAATATTAGTATAATTTGAAAAAATTGTTCATATTTTCACAACGATTTATAAATTTATATTCGATATTTCATAATTTTTATAATTTTTTATATGATATAATATATAATACATGTATTGTTTTTTATATTTTATGATTTAATTATTTGTATATTTACGTATAATAAAATAAATTTTTAGTTCAGAATTCAGAGTTTTTATTTTATTTATTCATTATACATGAAGTTATATTCATTATATTGATAGTACTTTAATTAATATAGATGTGTTTTACGTGCAATGATTGTTAATTGATCTGTATTATATTTAAGTCTATTTCTTAAATATAGAAATGTACAGTACAACATGACATGAATTAGTTTAAAAGTACAACATATAATAGATTTATTATAATGGGTAATTGTATGCGAAACGTACTACAAAGGTTACAAAAGAAAAAATGTTCAGAAAAGTAATGATTTTATATAATAAAATATTCATATTAATAAGAAAATGTTTATTTAATAATAATCTGATTTTTAGGACTATTATTTTGCTTATTTTAGGCCTTGATAATGCGGGAAAAACTTCAGTTTTAAATTGTATCAGTGGAGGTATATATATATATATATATATTTTTTTTTGATTCGCAATTTTTTTTTGATAATTATAATTAACATAATTAAAAAAAAATGTTTTATAAATTTATAATTTTAATTATATTTAATATATATTTGTTTTTAAAGTTAATTAATAAAATAATTATACATATATTTTTAGATTCAGATAAAAACACATTACCTACAATGGGATTCCATATAGTATCTTTAAAATACAAAACATACAGTGTAAAAATTTATGACATTGGTGGTAGCTCTCAAATCAGATCTTTGTGGCCAAAATATTATAATAGTGTAAGTAATTAAATTATAATATGATTATTAATATAATTAGTAAATAATAAATAATTAAATATAATTTAATATAAATATTACAAAATTCTTGCAGATCATAATCATATTTCATAGAAATGTAATTCTTTTATTTTTATTGTGAATAACAAAATATTTATTTAATAATCATTTTTATTTTAGATACATGGTCTTATATATGTTGTGGATGCTAGTGATATTTCTCGTCTTATAGAAAATAAAGTTGTTCTTGGTGAATTAATCTCACATGAATGTATTTCAGGAAAACCATTGTTGTTGTAAGAAAATTAAATATGTTATTTCTCTTTCTATATTGTTGTTTTTACATATCATTTTGTAGATGTAATGTATATAAATGCATAAAATATATTCATGTATATAACATGCTTGTTTTAATAAAATTTTAATATATATATATATATATATATATATAATATTTTATAATAGGCTTGCAAACAAACAAGATATAAATGGAGCTATTGATGAATTAGATCTTGTTGAGAATTTAGATGTAGAACATGCTGCTAATACTATGAAATGTCCCACAAGAGTGGAGATATGTTCGTGTATTTGCAAAGGAGATCAATCAAAAAATAATACAATTGGTATAAAAAATGGATACAAGTATGTAACAAACTTTTATTTTTATATTAAATATAATAATAAATTTAACTTTTTCTTTCATTAAATGAAAATTTACACAGATGGCTGCTGGATATAATAGTGAAGAATTATACAACTTTAAATAGTAAACTTAAAAGTTTTCAAAGTGCTCAATACGAAAAAAATATTGAAGTACAAAGTATAGCATTAGATTCACCATCAAGATTATCAATCCATTCCAATCCTTTTAAACCAATCAAAGACCTAATTTTAAAAAGGGTAATATTATTAAAATTTTATTTCAAATAAATTATTATATTCTCATTTTATCTATTGTAATTTTAGGAAGATGTTCATACAGCAAGTATTTCACAAAATGGTATGTAATATTAAATAATATATAATAAAGAAATAAAACTTTCTTATAATAATAATAATATAAACAATATTTGTAGGTATAGTAACAAATGAGAATAAGTTAAAGAAAATATTTAAACATAGAAATAAGACTGCACCACTTACTACTGAAGAATCTGTCATTGAAATTAAAAATATATCAGAAAATGTTAAATTTACCACACAAGCATTAGAATCACAAAAGAATTTTCAAGTATTTTCACCAATATTAAATCCAATAATATTAGATACATATACAAATTCAATTAGGTTAAAAAATAATCGTCCATATACAGCACCAGAATGTACACAACATTTTGTAAATAAGATAACAGTACTTAACATTCCTGGACAAGTGACACAAGAATAATATTTTAAATTGTATTATTATCAAAAATAATAAGGGACCATTATTAAGGAATATATATATATAATAATACAGATTCGGACGAAATAGATATAAAATCTAAGAGGTGATTCTAGAGACTAAAATAAACACATAAATCGATATGCAAAAATGTTCAAATTATAAGCAATAGAATTATGCACTAAATAAAGCGAAATGGAAATAAAATATAACAGAGATAAAGCTATCTCACTTTACCACTATCTTATTTCATTTTCAACGAATATTTTCGCATACTAACTTTTGTGTTTTTATTTTCTTTAAATTTTTATCTATTTTGTCCGAATAATCTATATAATATATTTGAAAATGCACCAAGAAAAATATTTTAACGAATTTTATATGTTTTTATAATATAAACATTTAATAAATATTCCTTTTATTCTCATCTGATATACTATAGAATAAAAATCAAAAATATTTATTCTTTATTATACGAATAATTATTTATATAAATAATATCTGTGTATAACTATTTGTGTTCTAGTCATCAAATATATTCATATGTTGATCTAAATATTTTTTCCAATTATTGCTTTTTATACATGACACAATGTATTTAAAAATTATATAGGTATATTTTATGACATTAATAAAATCATTAATATATCTTTTCTATTTTAACTTTATTATCTAGTTGCATACAAATTCACGTACATGAAAATTAGCTAAATATTCGAGAATATATACGAAAGACTTATAAAAGCTATAATATAAAGATAGTAAAAAATTTTCGATTAATAATAGCAGTAAAAATATATAAGAATTATATTGCAATACATAGAGCACATCAGTACATACTTATCACAATTTACAATACAATAAATATTATAAGTAGTTTTATCTTATCTGTAATACTATCTTATTGAGCAACTACTTTATTATATATATTGAAAGATTATACTGAAAATTGTTATAGTAAGGAACAATGTTATTTTAATATAAAAGATAAAAATTTATGGAAAATATTTTATATAACTTTGATGTATACACATCATTGAAATATAGCAATCAAATCATTAAAAGTAACATAAAATTTCAATAATTGATATTTAAAAATTACATACTCTCATGAAAGACTGTTATATCACGTTTTCAAAAATTTTATAGATCATAGTAATGCCATTTCAAATGCAAATATAGCAACTTTTGCTATAATAGTAATATTTTTTTTGTTAAATTCTTATTTATTTATTTATAATAATGCCTTTCTCAAACTATGAAGCAACATAACATTTTATGTATTAGCAATTCCAAAAGTATATGCAAATCGCCTTTCTTATTTTTTATTTATTTTCTTAACAATAGATAAAACTCGAATATTTGTTGCAATTGCACCTCATATAATCACAATTACTTTAATTAGGCAAGTTAAGTTTATCTTTATTACTAAGTTGAAAATATTTCATTTTTTTTTTTTCATATAAGATAGACTATTGCTTGTTATGAAAAGACAAATTTTGTCCTTTTGACTTTTATACAAAGTGTAAATATATAAATTTCTTCAATTGTTTGCATTATAATGATTAAAAAATAGTTTTTTTAAAATATAATTCAAAATTTTATAGATAATATATACAAATTGTAAAATTTTGTTCATAAATCAGCAATTACAAAGGCATTCAATTTTGACTATATTTATAAATTGATGTCTTAATTTTACTTTTCATTTGTACTTATTTTATATCTTAATTATATAATAGTTTTGAATATAATTTTTAGATGACTATGATTACATTCATTTTATGCAATTTTTTAATGATTTAAAAGTTGTTAAAAATTATAGTTAAAGATTCTATTATAAATTTCTATTATATGAATATAAAACTTACAAAACATATGATTTGCATATATTCATTAGACAAGTACAAAAATTTGTATATACCATAAAAGCTACTTTGTATTGCTATGTTTTGTTTTTTAATATAAATATTACATAATATAATGGCAGTTTGTATAAAATAAATGCTATTATTTAAATGCTTTATATTGCAGTCACATCTAATAGAAATTGAATAGATAAAATATTATCTTTTAATTCTTAATAACAATATGATTAATGTTACAAAGATACGTAACATATAATCTATGTATTTTATATTTTATAAAATTCTTATATATAAAACGACTATACAATTCCGTTTTTCGGAGCTGTAAATTTTACCAGACGAGTTAACATTGATGTAATGCACGGAATTTGTTTTTGTTGATGCATTGTAATATTATCAGGAGTATTTGATTCAAAATCAATAGCAACTCGCTGACAAACAAATGTGAGTAAAGTTAACAAATCATAACGAGTACCATTTTCTCGTAAATGTTCGCACAACGCTTGTATGAACCATGAACCGCGAGTAGTATTTCTCCATGAATAATAACCTGTATAAATAATTTTTTTTTAACTAAATTATATAAACATAAAATTAATTAAA